ATTCTACTACTATTGGGGCTGAAATGTCAAATCTTAATGTGGATCCTGGATGTGAATATTTTAAATAGGCTTTTTAAACCCCCCACCACCTTTTCCTGATATGATGTTTGTGCTACCCACTCCCCCAGAGATTTAGAAGAATTAATCTCTTGGTTTTGTCTCCTTTGCCCATGAAATCCTTCCCAGCGGTAGCCTGTCTGCGCGTTATTTCCTGACATTTCTTTTACAGAACGCTGCTATTTTGGACTGATGGTCACAGAGACCTTCTCAATAACACAGAGACAAAGTGCTCTGCATAGCTGATAAATTATAAGCAGGCACTGCGTGTGAGCGTGATAGATTATTATAGTGGATGTGTGTGAGTCATGGTTGTTATTTTTGGTCAAAAGAATTGTGTGAACTTTTCTCCTCTATTTTGAGCACTTTGAAATGTGCTACTTCCCCCCCCCCCCAAGGTGTATGTCAAGGAATTAAGCACCACATCAGAATACTTATTTTCCAGTTTCCAGTTGTTGCTTTGGAGTCAAGGAGGTGGAAGGAGTGGAAAGGAAGGGACTTTATTTTGACAAACAACCGACCTTGTCGATTGTTAGCAGGCTCACAGCATCATGCTTAGATCTAGAAGGGACCTTAAAGGTCATCTAAGACAATCACCTCATTTTATGGATGAAAAGACTGAGGCTCAGGGAGAGACTTGCCAGGGAAGGAAGGAAGAAATGGCAGATTGGGTATTTAAACCCTGGTTTCCCAACTTCAAATCCTGTGCTCTTTCCACTTCACATTTCTAGAAAATCACAAATTTATCTGCTTGAAAGTTCTCCCTCCGATCTCCACCCCCACCATGGGATAGTTTTAGAACTGAGATAGGCTTATCCATGAACTTCTTGAACAGATTGCTGTGTGACTTTAATTGACCGTTGTTTTTGCAGTTTATGTGAAGTCATCAGACTATTTTAATGGCTTCCTTTTCAACTAGCACGAAGAGTAGATAGATAATAGTCAACAATTACATTACCGGGTCTCTAGCTCTCTACTAGCTTTGACTTGTGTTTCATATATCACCAGAGTCATCTCTTGATGCCTTTATCACTGTTGTATCTAAATACCCAGACAGTCTAATTAAGTTACTTCCAATTACCTTGGTAAGGGAAAATGAGAGGTCCTGCTCTGTCTCCTCAATGCTCTGGCCATCCCTGATTAGAAGGTAAAAAAAGGCTGGGAAGGTCTAACATGAAAGCAGCTTTCCACACTTTTCCTTCTAGGATTTAGGGGAAGGCTCTGGCAAAGAGGGTGAATTTTGCAGCATCTCCTCAAGATGGTGATGATGAGATTCTCTAGGCTTTGTTGCAGGTGGCAAATCCCTTTCGCTCAGGGGCCGCTGCAGCATGTTCCTAGCCCAGGCGTGAGCCCAGCCGTCACAGATTGTGCCTCTGTTCCTAGTCTCACCTCTGGGTAAATCACTTCATCTCTTTGCCTGTTTCTCCATCTGTTAAGTAGGGATTATGCTTGCTGCTTCTTTGCCTCACAGGAATAGTATGAGGATCAGTGAGATAATGTCAAGAAAATGTTTGGGAGTTCTTTGGGGGGAAGGCATATATACACTGGACTCTTGGTAATTGTGCTCAAGGGAGCTAAGGGCTGGGAGGGAGAGGAGGAATGAGGCTAAAGTAAAACCATAGATAAGTAATCTCCTAACCGCATTTCAGATGCCTCCTCTATTTTCTGACTCTTTTAAGAGCACTTCCATGGAGTTTTGGGTGGGCAGATTGGCAAGGGGGTGACAAGATTTCAACAAAATTTCTGCATGGGAAACATAATTGGTGCTAGAGATTAAATACATAACTAAGACCTTGTCCTCAAGGAGCTTGCACTCTAATGGAGAGAGGGAGAGGATTTTGACATGAAAATAAATCAGTATAACACAAGATTGAGAATAGGTCAGTCAAAAAAGAGGGGCCCAGACAAAGTACTCTAGGCCAATTTCTGAAGGGAGAAATTACTTCTAGACTGTGGGGTAGAAGGAGGCTTCATGGAGGAGGTGGTACTTGAGCTGGGCCTTAAAGGAAGAGAAGGATGGAAATAGGCATCAAAGTGGCCTATGCAAATAAGCAAGGACAGTGAGTAGACCAGATTAACCAGAACGTAAGGTCCATAAGTGGAAATAATATTAGATAAGACCGGAAAGGGAAGTCGGAAGCCTGCTTGTGGAAGACCCTAAATTCCAGGTTGAAAAGTTTATAATTTATCCTATCAACAATGGGTAGCCACTGGAGATTTTTGAGTAGAGGAGTGATATGTTCAAAACTGCTTTAGAAAGATGATTTTGTGTGCTTAATATAAATGTATAAGTAGAGCCTATATCAGATTGTACGCCATCGTGGGGAGGGGAAAGACAGAGAGGGAGAGAAAATTTGAAACCAAAATCTTATGGAAGTGAATGTTGAAAACTAAAAATTAATAAATTGCTTAATTTAAAAAAAAAAAGAAAGATGATTTTGGCAACTGTATAAAGTATGGATTGGAGTAAGGAGACATTAGAGACAGGAGCACCAATTAGGAACCTATTATAGTAGTCTAGGAGAGAGGTAATTATGACCACTGAATGCTGAGTCAAGGTCATTGGAAGTCCAGGTAGGCCTTGGAGGAAGAGGTAGCATACAGGATTGGAGGCTGTTACTGTAGCTTTGTTTTTTTCTCCATTAAAGTTTGAAACATGGAAAGAGAAGATGGCCAGGCCTCAAAGGTGTGCAGCCTTATACTAAAGGGACTGACTGTAGGAGTCTTCAAAGTACCGAACTTAATAGTCACTGTCAAATTTGCGTTCAGAATATTTAGCTCAGTTGTCTTTCAGGCAAAGTACATAGCACCTGAAGCAGCTTTTGAAATAGTCAGTTGGTTGCCTTGTCTCTTCTGTTCCTTATTTTTCCACCTGCAAAATGAGGGTTAATCCTCCTCATGCCCCCACCATTTTCTTTTCTTTACCTCATGAGACTCACCAAAATGATTTGAGTCTAGTTATTAGTATCATAACCCTCTGCTAAAATGGGACTGAAAAATGAGATCCTATTTAATAATAGTTAATTGAAAATATTATACATAAAAAGTGGATGGCAATTTCTGTCTGCCCTTTAAAAATACTTTGTATTCCAAAGAACTCAATAGTGCTCTGTTCATTGAGCAAGTAATCTTCACAAATAGGTAGGACACAGGCATTATTATCCCTCTGTATTCAGACTTTAAATGTCGGCACTTACTATTCCAGGTCCCTCCTGAGACCTGTGACCATTAGTTTCAATCTTGGCCTCTTGCCTTTGTTCTCTCCTCAGAAGGGTGGTATTCTTAGTGTCTGGCATGAGTATTTGTCAGGGGAAAGCTTTTGAAATGGAGCTTCTTGAGAGTGGAACCCGGGCAGGCTGGTTCCGTTTTAGGTACTGTGGCCTACCTAATCATCCATTCATTCACTTGCTTTCTTATGTGCTCACTGTATTCACAGCACAGGACTAGACGTTGTGAAGGGATGCTAAGGAAGGATGCTGTGGTTTCTATTTTCAAGGAACTGTGATAGTCTTCTTAGGGAGAGCAGAGAGACATAAGAAATGATTAAAGACTAGAGACAAGTTATAATTATTAAAATGCAAAACTGTATAGTGCATAAAGCAGAAAGAGAAGGTTTCTCAGAAAAGAAGAACCTTGAGCTGGGTCTTGAAGGGAGTGTTGAGTATTGGTTGGTGGAGAGGAGGTGGAAATTCTAATTAGGGCTGGCAGAATGAACAAACACAGTAAAAGAGATACAATGGAAAGAGATGAGAAAACCTGGGTTTACATTCTGCCTCAGCTTCTCATTTGTGTGTGTGTATGTGTGTGTGTGTGTGTGTGTGTGTGTGTGTAATGGACCCCTTTTCTGAATAATGCTTTAAAAAAATTGAAGGAAATGCTAAATTTCAGTTAGAGATTAGTAAGGATAAAGATGTATTTATTTCCCATCCAAGCTCATGGACCCCTTGAAATCTATTCACATACCTCATGGGTCTGTAGACCCCCAAGTGAAGAACTCCTGGACGCATAAGGTCCCTGCTAGCTTTAAATCTATTATGTAGTAATCCTAGGGGGACTATCAAGCTATAAGCATGTGGCAGTATTATGAAAAGAGCATCTAGCCTTGAGAAAGAGTAGGAGTAATGATCCAGTTATATTGGTAAAAATAGCCATTATCCAAATCATTTGCTAAAAGCATTCAGCAACACAGTGACAAGCACAGATTCCTGGGGCCTTGAATGCTAGCCTGAACTATTTAGATTTGATCTGCTAACAATAGGGAGTCATTGTAGGATCTTGAGGCAGGAGTGGTATAATGAATCCAGTGTTTGAGAAAGATTATTCTAGCAACAGGGTAAAGAGGGAGTGAGAATAAGGAAAAGAGGTGGCAAGGAGGCCATGAGCTGATAAGAGCCATGGCATACATGTTAGCTTCTGGAAGGACTTTCATCTTATCATGCTTGTAATTCCAACACTCACCACTAGAATTGTGCAGAAAATTTCATGAGCTGCAGCTGAAAAAAGAGATCTATGTCATGATGCATGTTGAAATAATACTAGTTACCTGTTGTTTTCAATAATAATAAATAATATCTAAAATAATATTAGATTCCAAACACCCTGGCCCAAATACGGTACTAAATTAATTCTTTCTCATTCAGTTTCTAAGATCCTATAATAGTGAATCCTTTTATTAAATGGATATACTTTTCCCATTTATTCCATATTGTTCATTGGTTAAAAAAAAATGCTCCACCAGCTCTATGTTGCTTTCCTGTCTGCAGCGTTGGTGACGATTTTTTGCCCAGCTGCTGTACCTCAGTGTTGTCCTGTGTGCATTTATTTTAATGGTGTTTGTATGGTTCTGCTGTTTTTCGATGCCCACATCCATAAAAATAATAAATCCTTGAGCTTATGCACTCGTTTATTTCCAATTGTGTTTCATAATGTGCTGATACTTCCAGGCTAATCTTGCACAACTATTGAGTGATTCTCGGGACCGAAATAAACATCTGGGAGAAGAAATTAAAGAACTTCAGCAGAGACTTGGAGAAATACAGGGGGACAATAAGGTACTGTAAGAGCATCCCCGTGTGATTGTGGGCTGGAATTTTATGTTCAGTACATCTGAAAAATGGAACGCTGTGTTTGTTGGGAATTTGTTTATAGATTTTACATTTGCAATGAAAATTCACAGTTTAGCATTTCTTATCTTTATTACATTCCCCCCGTTTTTTTTTTCTGTGTGCCTTCTGTGTTACTCGAAAATATTGTCGTAGCCCAGTTCAGAAGTTTCATTATATTCAACTTGGTGGTGAAAGAACAGCATTGTGGTTGAGGACGAAATAAAGCACAAATGCCCTACTTGGTCGGTCTCTCCCTCTCTGTCCCCCTCCCCCTTTACAAATAATGGATTTGTGGTTCAGATGATTCGGAATTATTCACATTCAGCTTAGAATTTTAAGCAGTCATCCTACTAATTATGTTCACATAACCAATTTATTTTATTGCTAAATTTGGCAATTTGTATGGAGCGTTGCTCAAAATCCACTGCTCGGCATTAATCAAACTCCCCTGTTGGCAACGTTAATTATAAAATATGAACTCATAAACTCCAAACTAAATTGTGCGCTCATAGTCCTAGCTAAAGCTGTGCACAAAAGTACAAATGAGAAAGGTTTTGTGTGAGTGTGTGTGTATGTGTGTGTAAGCTATTGAAGTCTAACGGCCCCCCAAATTTCCTCTTTGCCAGGAAAGCTTCAATTTCTAGCCCATGCCAAAGCCAACCTTTGCATCAGGTTAAAGCTTTGATGCTTGTTTTCAAAAAATTATCTTCAGATAGGTTTTTGGTGAGAGCTCACCTGAGCACATCAAATTCCTTAATAGATAATGCTTTGAGGCTTAATTTGGGGGAAGTTGTATGCAGATCTGAGCTGAGGAGAATGTGGCCCAGGCTATAGATTGGCGTTCTTTAAACCGTCAGGATTTCCTAGCTGAAGAGGCTAGATCTGGGAAAGGACATTCTATTGGGGAATCTTTTTCATATTAACCCTTTCAGTTTTCTCTAACCATGTCTTTGCCTAGCCCCATTATCAAACATGACTTTGTGGCTTAGCTATAAAATGAGAACCCAAAATTATGCTATAACTCAGGGAAGAGAGAGGAGAGAAAAAAAAATCACACACACACACACACACACACACACACACACACACACACACACACACGGAAATATCGGCATCCACGTTTAAGCAAAACAAAACCAAAAACAAACCTCCTTTGTAATTAAAATACGCACACATATAATAAGGGATAAAAAGCTGGACATACTGCTCCTGGAATGTTTGATGGATGCATTTTTAAAAGTCATTTGCTTCTGTGATAATGTAGGTATTTGCTTGGTAATAAGAGCAAGTCATTCTTAATAACAAAGCAAAGCCTCCCAGAGATTTGAAAATGTGTAAAGGACAAAACAAAAACAGCACAGGACAAAGTACTAACTGAATATATTTTAATGTCATGATTCTTCTCCTTTGCCATCATTTGCCAGTATTTCTTTTACGCTTTATTTCCTTTTTTAGTTTTCTCAATCAGTATTTTTATGTGTATTATTTTCTGCCTCACCGTTCTTCTTCTCCCCCGCCCCCCCCCCTTTTTTTATTCCTTCCCACCTTTGGTCTGTATGGATAAGAACTCACATATGTGGGCATATTTAAGGAATGTGGGGGTGACGTTGGATTTGGTTGGGAGGGGTGTGGGGAAGCATATATAATAAAAGGTAGGACCTTCTTTCACATTGCTTGCCCTTCGGATCTTCTTTTCACTCACTGGCTACATTTATCAAATTTTTTACCTCAGGGTAGGAATTTCATGACTCATATTCATGGGTTGAGAAGCAATTAACCTGCCAAAAGGTACAGTGAGAATTTTATAATCTTTAGCAGACCCCATGTACCATTTGTGCCTCCTCTTCCCCCAAACTAAACACAATTAGACCCCAGGATTCTTTGGATTCTCATTTGCATCTAAAATGATAGGTCTGGTTTTTATTTTAAGTTTCATGTGATGTGAGAGTCACAGGCTCCCCTTGAGTCCTCAGTTTTAAACCACACATAATACCAAATTAGTCACTTGGTAATGGGCAGCAGCATTCTCTCAGAATTCAGAAGCCCAGGATTGATAGATGGTCTAGCTAGAGCAGCAGTAAAGGACTAAATAACCCTTGAGGTTACAAGCCAAGGTATCAGCCATTACTGGGTGTTTCAACAGTACTTGTTGGCTTCATTTAACTTGCCTCTTCTCCCTTAGGGCGGGTAGCAGTAGAAAAGTCTTTTGGGGGAGGAGGGGGAGAAGATGAAATCAGTCAGTTCTTTATAGTGTGTGGACATGTATAATTCCATAATTCCAAGGGTTTGGTCAGCCCAACTAGATGACGAAGCTAGTCTGAGGACCTTGAGAAGTTTCTCCAGACTGAACAGATTATGATGAACCAGAGAGATCAAAGGGTAAAAGAGCCCACTCACAGAATGGTTCAAGCTAGTTAAACTCAAAGATACTAAAGTAAAGTGTTGTTAGAAATAGTTCTCCACTCCAATTGGAACCCAAAGGGCTTCATGCATTATTTTATGGGTGATTGTTAAAACAGCAGATTTTTATCTCAGCATTGCCATTTTAACTGACGACCCTTATCTATATTTTGGGAAGCACAGATTCTAGATGTTAAGTACATTTAAAAAATAAGGTGATGGAAAATTACTTGCCTTAGATATTTTAGGGTAGACTAATTTTTCCATTTGTTCAGCTAGAGCCTTGTAACCCTACAAGCCATAAAACATCTCCAAACAGTCTCTTGAAAGATTTGTTGCCCCCTCACTTACTTACAGGCAGTTCTCTTGAGAATAGGGGTTTGGAACTTAGGAGGCTGCCCATGACTGAACGCCATTTACCATCAACTGAGACCAACTTCCAAGAAGAATTTGGGGTTCAGCACTAATGCAGGGGCCCCTTCTCATCCCTGTAGCATGCCATGAGGTATTTAGACAGAAACCTAGTTAGGCACCATCCTCTTCCTTGAAAGTTATGCTCTTCAAAGGTTAATGAGGAAACAAGAGGCTGATTCCTCAGCCAAATGTGGATTGTAATCTCCACAAATCACCACAGGGAAACCTTTCTGTGAATTGCCAAGGGCATTGTTCAGAAAGAAAGAGCTATTATGTGAAAGGCCAAAAGACCCAATATCCAGAGGAAACCTAAGAGGAGTCCATAGATACATAATAGGTATATTATAGTACTGTATATGGCGGCCATCCTATCTAGTTACTTGCTAGTACTTCATAATCCACCAAGTTGCATTGTGAATAATGGTATGGGGTATAGAAGGAGACAAGATTTGGGAGAATGCCCATAGGCTGAGAAGGGCTAGTTTGGTACTTCCTAATCTTCACTAAAGTGAAAAAGTGGGATGGGAAATAGAAGGAAGAATGGAGGCACAAGGGGAGTTATAGGAGCAGAAAATCACAGACATTCATTTGAGAACCACTAGGCAGGAACACTACATCTCTGGGCTTTTCTGATAAATGAGGCTATGCCTTTTTTTTTTTTTTGCCCGGCAGTAGAACACTGAAGTATAGATATCCGTCTTGGAATAGGAGTGAACCTATACAAGTCATCCACCAAGGATCTGAAAGGTTTCATTTTTCTTTATTGTTTTAAATTTGTTGACCCAAAGTATAAGTGAAATTTGAAGGCACAATGTTGTTCTCTTTAGTTACCAGCATAAGGGAAGCAGTGAAATCGGGAACTAACTGGGCATTGACAGGTATAGACCAACTTCTTCATCACCCTTGACACTGTTGTCTTCACTGTGGTTTTTCCTCTACCTGGCTGCTTTGGGTTTGGGCTCCCAGAACAGTGTATGCATTTAATGTCTCCCTTACAAAATATGCACTTAATAAGCTATACCAGGAGAGGCAACTAATGTGCTGATAGAGACAACTCACAGTTGTTTATCCTGTATCTTTTCTTTTTGTTATTTTTTTCCTTTAGTTTAAAGATTGTGGCATTTTGGTGCAGAATACCAATAATCCAATATTGACTTTGCAAAAGCCAGAAAATGTAAGCATTAAGCCTCTGACAATGTCATACAAGATTTCCTTTGCCAGCTTTTGTGAATTTAAATTTAGCTGTTGTGATAATGCATGAACATAGTGTTTTGCATTTAATAATGAGTTTTATATTGCACCAGCTGACGGTCTTTAAGTGTGCTGATTTTATCGGATGCTGGCGCAGTAAAGTGATAGTAGAGTGGTACTTTATTGACGTGTGGCTCTCTGATTGGCTTAGAAAGTAAACCAATTAACTAAAAACCATGAACCAATAACAGGGGTCTAATGGGAGTACAAATGACTAATTAAAATATAGTTTGTTAAAATAGTACTCAGCTGTAAATGTTTGTAATGACCCTGGGGTTATATTCAGAGAGTACCTTGTAAATAGTTCCACTATTAATTGTAAAAGAAATTAAGGTTTTCTAGCCTGCATGAAGCCTGAAAGAGACACTTTGATGAAAATAGAGGTCACTTTAGGGTACCATATAAATTAATTACAGAGTGCTGAAATGGGCAATGAAAAGACCACCTTCCTCTTTCCATCCTACATAATCTAGCTTGTTTTCCTCTAGGGACATGTGATTATGAACCACAGGCAATTCAGAATTAGTTGAGAAATATTTGGCCAGTTCAACAGCCATGGCTAGTTAAATATCTTTGAGTGTTCTTTAATTCAGTCTTAGTAGATATATTTACATACTGTCATTCTTGAATATTTTATTATGGGGTCACAGATCTATAGCTGGAAAGAACTTCAAAAGCCTTTTAACCTAATTTTCTCATTTACTGTTGAGGAAGATGAGGCCCAGGAAGCTAAGTGACTTGTCTAGGGTTGTTTAGATAGTACATGATGCAGATGGGATTCCCAGGTCTCCTTACTCCATTTCGGTATTCTTTCCAATGTAACCTAGTGACAAAATTACATGTTTTTAATGTAAATCTTGTTGCATCTTCCATCGACAAGTACAGCCATTCAAATATATGAGCAAGAGTATAAGAAAAAAATTAGTAAGATGAAATTTTAAAAAAGAAGAGATTATAAATGATTATACAAGTTTGTTAACCTCACTCTAAAAGATGTGAATATTGACTCTAACATTATGGTACCAGCCTCATCCTTTCTGTAATCCTTTGTGACCCTCTTTAAAAATCCCATTTTCTGATGGAAGGTTGACTCAAATAGAGTTATATATATATTTTTTTCTCCTGAACAAAGTTATTCACGTTTTTCAGTTAAAAAAAATGAAAATGCAGAATATGAAAATAAAGCAACCTTCAAACTGCCCACTTAAAAATATGGAAATAGAGAAATTACAGTTGTGAGAGTAACATGAGCTCATATGGGACTACATTTACTCTTTGAATGTCATTCAGTAAAACAAAATAGTACATTTGGTTGGAGCATGGGGGGGCCGGGGGAAGAGAAAAAAGGGGTCATGGGGGAGAAGTTAAGGGAGACTGGGTGAGAATGGCATTGATGTAAATTAAAATCCTATTGATTTTATTTTAAGTGGACAATTCTGTTCAAAATTTCAACTGGAATATCATGAGAGTCCAGGAATTTAGATATTCTTCTGCCCAGGGTGATCTTCTTTAAATCAGTTGTGTCAATATCCACATTTTTAAAAGGAAACTGGCAAGAATCCAGAGAAGAGTAACAAAGGAAAGTAGAGGAGTGGACAGTAGGGCACTGTGAAACTTGCCTAGCCCAGAATCCCACACAGATGGACATTTCATAAATGCTTTGCAAGGCTGGGCACACTTCAGGTGTGCTGCTCTAACAGCCGCAGACAGGTGCTGCAGGGAGCGGGAGCATGAGGAAGGGATAGATACCTGAGTTCTGGTTGTTAATGATAATTCCTCACATTTGTATGGTGCTTTCTCTTTCTCCAAGCACTTTCACACACATTATCTCATTAAATCCTCACAGCTACCCTGGGAAATAGATAAGGTAGATCTAATAATAGTTATGTTAATAGTAATAAGACCTCAATAAAAGTGATTGGTATAGCACTTTCAACTTTATACCAAGTACTTTCCCATCTTTTATTTAATTCAGTCATCACAGCAGCTCTATGGCGCCAGGCCAGTTGACAAATATGGAAACTGAGGCCCCAAAGAAGTCAACTGTCTTACCCACTATGTCACTGGCAGCTGCAGCACTAGAATTCAAGTGCTTTGCACTGCATCCAGCAGCTTATCAAAATACACCATCAGAGTGCCTTGTCTCCAGGCCATGTTCTTATGCAATAGCAAAGGTGATCCAAGTAGCTTGGAGGCACTGGTCTTGAATCCTTAAAACCTGAATTCCGATTTTGCCTCAGATTGTTAGCTGTTTGCCCCTGGGTGAGTAACTTAGTCTCTCTTAGCCTCAGTTTACTCATCTGTAAAATGGGGATCCTAATAGCACCAACTCCTAAAGTTGCTGTGAGGACCAAATGAGATAGCATATACCTTAAAGTGATATAGAAAGGCTAGTTATCATCGTCATCACCACCATCATCATCTTCTTCATACCTACTATTCATTTGAAACATTTATTGTTATCAATTATTAGCACATTTATGAAATGAGGGGCCCTGCCTCCACTAGCATTCTCAAAGCCTAGTGGTCACCATGCTTCTCCCTACCGTAGGGAGCTCTCTGGCTCTGCCAGTTGGCAACAATGAAGCCAGACTTCTGTTGATCTTGTTTTTGTGTACTTGTTTACCAACTGCTCTACACCTATTCTGGTTTCTGACTGAGGCATGCAAAGCCCTCCACAACCTGGCTCCCTTTTACCTGTCCAGCTTGATTCTACATACTCTTCCCCTTCAGGTACTCTATTCCAGCTTAACTGGACTACTAGCCAGCTCCCTGAACACATCCTGTTGTCTTCTTGCCTCGATACTAGCAAATACTCTTCATTGGCTCTCCGATGCTTTTCCCACTTATCTCCCTCTGTTGAAATTCTTCTCCTTCTTTGAGATCCAGCATCACTGCCACCTTCTTCATGAAACCTCTTTTGGTCATCAGAGGTAGACGTTACCCCTCCGTCTTTGAGTCTCTCACCTACTCTGACCTCTCCTTTGAACTGGCTAAATCATTGTTTTGGAGAGGATTCTGACCAATAAAATACCTATGACTTGGGGTAGCTGACTGAAAGTCTCAGAGTAAGGGGGACCCTTTGGGCTATGTATGTATGTCTTGGGCTGGCTAGCTGCTACTATATTATAAACTGCCTAAAAGCACTAATTGTGTTACTCCATCTTTGCTTTCCCACCATGTAACACAGTGACTTGCATATGAAATACTTATTAAAAGTTTGTTGAATTGAATTTTAGATTCTCGGTTAGAAAAGGGTTTTTTTGGTAGGCATTTTAAAATAAGGCCTTATTGCTTGCACTATACCAGTAAGGTTGTCATTATGAGAAAGGTTGGCATTCAATTGCTACATTGTTTAACCTGAGTTACTAAAGAAAGGGTTGGAAAACACAAATACACACACACACACACACACACACACACACTCACAAGCCCTGGCAACATGGGATTTTTGTCTCACCTGTTTGGTGGAGGCCTTCCAATCCCTATTAGCTTTATCACTCATATTTCAGACCAACTAATGATGTGAACATAACTTACTTGGCCCTCTCTTTTAAAATAACTATCTTAAGTAGTCAGTACCTGAGTTTTAATGGCCAATATTGTATACACATTAAACATCAAATGATTGTTAACCTATTTATTGAGGCTTAACAGCCATACAAGTATATGAAAGATGGCTCCCTTACATGACTGTCAGAATTCAATAAACATGTTTAATAATTAATTGGCATTAAGCAAACATAAGTGTCTGAATCTAAATTAAGTGTTCAATGAAGCATATTTCAAACACAGTTGAAACTACAGTGATGTGTTATTATTTAAAGTCCAGACTGTCAATTTCCCTTTTCACATAATCAGAAATATTGTGTTTTTCCAAAGGTATTGCTGGTTCAATGGCACTCTCGTGTGAACACAGCTTACTTCGTTGTACATTGTACCAGGCTATCAAAGAGATATTAAGTATGTGTGTATATATCTCTTATGTGCAATTGGCAACATATATATGTGTATATATCCATATGTGCACATAGTTATGCTTATGTTAGAAACTGGTTCAGTGACCAGATCCACAGAGAAATCATCTTGGAAGGAGGTCTTTAGTGGACTGCCAAGGGCTCAGTCCTTGGCTCTAGACTGTTAATATTTTTATCAATAACTTGGATAAAGGTAGAGATGGCTTTGCTGATGATATAAAACCAGAAGAGAGAGCTAATGTGTTGGATGACAGAGTCAGGATCCCACAAGACTGTAAGAACTAGAATACTGGACCAAATTGAAGGTGAAATGTAATAGAGATAAACGTAAAGAAACTTCTCAAGTATATAATAGGTGAACACGACGACATTATTAATGTTCACTCACCAAAATTTTATCTTTTGTTTTTTAATGAGTTGCAAGTTCACTATGAGTAAACCATGTCATCTGAAAACCTAAAGTGCCTAAGCAGTCTTAGGCTAAATTAAAAGAATCTGAGTGCCCAGGATTTGGGAAGGTTCTGCTATACTCTGCCCTGGTTAGACACTGCCTAGGGTACTCTGTTCAGTTCTGGGTATAAGGATAAGCTGGAAAGCATCCAAAGGAGGAACTCAAAGTCACAGGTTAATAGCATCATCTATTTAGAGCTGGAAGGGACCTTAGGGGTCATCTCTTCCAACCCCTTCATTTTCTAAGTAAGGAAACTATAGCCCAGAGAGGTTGTCCAAGGTAATAAGGCAGCAAGAGGCAGAGCTAGGATTTGAACCCAGGTTTTTCTGACTGAAGCCCAGCATTCTATCTCCTTCACTAAGCTGCCTCTATGAGGCTTATTGGAAGGAACTGTGGTGTTTAACCATGGAGAAGAAAATACTCACAGGAGACCTAAATAGCTGTCTTCAGGTATTTGAAGGGCTTCTTTGTTGAAAGGGGTTAGATTTCTTCTAGATTCAGAGGGCAGAACTAGAGGTGAAATCTGAAAAGATACAAAGAGAGGCTTACCATAAGGATAAATTGTCCAGCAATTAAGGTTTTCCAAAAGCAGGAAGGACTACATCAACAAGCAATGGGTTCCCTATCATTTCTGGTTTTTAAGCAAATGTCAGCTGCTCATAGGTCATGAATGTTGTTGAAGGGATCCGTGGTCAAATATGGGTTGTCCTAGATGGTCTGTGAGATCCACCTAATGTGGAGAGTGTCGGTTTCTCTATTCTTTTGCACTAAAGTCTTACTCTAATCCCTCATTTTGAGACAGAGGAGATTGAGGGTTTTTGAAGATTATGTCAATAGAGGACAAGCTCTGGTGGGTCCCTACCAAACTGAACAGGTTTTTGAGCATGGGCTCAGCAACAGACTTTGTTTCTCTCATTTGAGAATCAGGTTGGCTAAGTTCAAAGATGCTTATCTCCAGAAGGTTGTTACCTACAAGGGGATGGAGTACCCACATCATCAAAACCAGGAGTCTTCCAAAGTATGTGTGCAAGAAATACACTTTTACCATAGATGATGTTCTACAACAGGCTAGTGGCAAATGTTAGATGAGATAGCTACTACTCTATTTCATATTAATCCAAACATTAGAAAAATTGTCCCTCAGGCTGAACATATTAAGTTGCCAGGGGGCCATCTCCAGGCATCCTGATCTATATCTTGCCACTGGATCCAGATAGAGGAGAAAGTGAGGCTGTGACTTTGTACAGCCCTCCTTCACTTAAATCCAGTTCACTTGCAAGCATCACCTTCCTAATGCCATGGTCTTCTTTGAGAACAAAGGACAGATAGTTGTAAGTCAATCCTAAAGATAAGCCTTCTGATGGCTGAGCTTTTGTACTACTTTTTGTACAACTTGTTCAGCCATTCCCCAACTGATGGACATCCCCTCAATTTCCAGTTCTTTGCCACCACGAAAAGACCTACTATAAATATTTTTGTACATGTGGGTCTTTTTCCCATTTGTATGGTCTCTTTGGGATACAGACCTAGGAGTGGTATTGCTGAGTCAAAGGGTATGCACATTTTGGGCATAGTTCCAAATTGCTCTCCAGAATGGTTGGATCAGTTCATAACTCCACCAACAATGCATTAGTGTTCCAATTTTCCCATATCTTCTCCAGCATTTATCATTTTTCTGTTTTGCTGGGAACCAGACCTCCACGCTACTTCTTGGATGTTTCCACCTCCTCCCTATCTTTCTACCTCCCCTCGAAGGTATTGTCCTCTTTAATTAGAATGTAAGCTGCCGATAGAGTACCAGTCCTAGAGTCAGGAAGACTCAACTTTCTAAGTTCAAATCTGGCCTCAGAAACTTAATAGCTGTGTGACCCTGGGCAAATCACTTAACCCTGTTTGCCTCAGTTTCTTCATCTGTAAAATGAGCTGGAGAAGGAAATGGCAAAGAACTCCAGTATCCTTGCCAAGAAAACCCCAAATGGAGTCATGAAGAGTGAGACATTTCTGAAACAAATGAACAGCAAAAAAGTTCCTTGAGAGTTGAAACTGTCTTGCTTATTTGTATTTGAATCCCCAGTCTTAAACACAGTGCCTGGCACGTAATAAATACTTAACAAGTGCTCTATCTATGCAACAAAAAAAGAAAAAAGAGAGATGAAGCCATTAAGTCAGAAAGGTGCTCTTACCTCAACTGGATACCATCTAGTCAGGAGCTTGGACGTTATCTAACTATTCAGACTGGTGGGAGGCTTGTTCTCATGTTGAATATTGACTATATGTAACTTACTAGATTCTTTTAAAGGGAAACAGCTTGCAGACCCTAAAATGAGGTCCTTTTGTGAAGAAAAAGAAGGAAAAAAAAAGCTGTCTTTAAGAGAAGCCAGAGTTTTCTTTTTCTTCTAAAGTAAACAAATAAGCTTCTATCACAATATCACATGTTCTGGCAAATTAAAGGGAATTCAAGGAAGTGGGGAAATTCCAAATGACAAACAAACACAGGAAGCTGGGCTTAAAACGATGGAAGAGGAATGTTTAAAAATCCCAAATATGTAAGCTTATAATAAAACATGGCCCAGTGACTTTACATAAAGAATTTTTAGATTCACAGAGCGTATTCGCTCCAGCTTCATGGAATCGGCGACGGCTCTCAGCTTCCTCCGGGCTTTAGCTTAGAGCCTTGACCTCTAGCAAACAAATTGCAGTGCTTTGGGTTTCCCAGACTCCACTGCCTTTTACTATGTTTGGATCAAACCTGTTTGTGCTTTGGTGTCACAGTCCAGTGGTACTAAACAGTAAAACACAGCTAATGGAGAGAGGCAAATAAAATGCCTCTATGAAAATGAAAAGGCATTGTTAGTTGGTGGAAAAATTTATATTACTGTTATTCTTTTGTAATCAAAATGCAAATATCTCAGATCTTCATGTTTTAATTTGGGATTCTACTCCATATTTGCTTGCTTATTTGTTGAGTGTATAAGTAAGATTAACATAATAAAAGAGGCAATATTAAAATCATAAAAAGGAAGAGAACTCTTTCCCCAATCAGCAGTTATTTAGAGTTCATTGAAGCTGCTTTAATTTCGAGGTGGGGACACTTCTTATTTTGTGACCATATCCTTCCTCTTACTCTAGGAATGGCCCCTACTGATTAAGCAGGGAAATCCTGTTACCTTAAGAGTCAGACAATGTTAGAGATTTGTGTTTAAGGAAAGAAACACCTTGCCAACTTTCTTTGACATTTGATGGTCCCGGAAATATGACATATGAGGAAACTGAGGCTCAGAAAGATTGATACTTTTTCAAGGTCACAGGTAGTAAGGAGCGGAGTTGAGATTTCTAGCCAGATATTCTGAATCTAAATCTAGAGTCCTGTCTTATTGTTGTTTATATTGTTGTTTAGTTGTGTTCAACTCATTTGTGACCTCATCTGGGATTTTTCTGGCAAAGATACTGAAGTGTTTTTCCATTGCCTTTTTTTCATTTTATTTTATAGATGAGGAAACTGAGACAAACAGGGTTAAGTGACTTGCCCAGGGTCACACAGCCAGTAAGTGTCTGAGGCTGGATTTGAACTCACATCTTCCTACCACACTACAATTTAATGAATAAGACTTGATTTTCGTCTTATCCCAATCACTGACTTTCCTTTCTAGATAGTGGAAGATTTCTTTTGTTTTATTTCTCTGTTCTTGCCAAACTTTCTGGCATGTTCCAAAGTTCATTTAAAGAAATGTTTTGCTATGCCTTTTGTTTCGCATCGTACTAATTTATTAAAGAACTCTTTACTCCCCCACCCCTCCCCATAAACCTGTCCCTGTAACAAAGAAAAATAGTTGAGCAGCAATACCTGATGCAATGACAGTGTACATAGCATTCTGCCCTAGCAGTCTCTCCACCTTTCTATAAGAGGAAAAAGATATATTTCATTGTGCGGGCACATTATTGGTGTTTCAATTATTCAGAATTCAATGGAACATGCTTTCTAAAGTTTTTGCTCTGGTGTTGATGATCTTCTAATTTGGATATGTTCAATTTCTCTCTCTCTCTCTCTCTCTCTCTCTCTCTCTCTCTCTCTCTCTCTCTCTCTCTCTCTCTTCCTCCTAATGGAAACCACAGCTTCTAAGGATGACGATAGCAAAACAGAGACTAGGTGATGAAGAAATTGGAGCCCGCCATTTTGCAGCCCATGAACGAGAAGACCTGGTTCAGCAGCTGGAGAGATCTCGGGAACAAGTAATCATGCATAGACACTGCATGGTGGGGGGTGTGTCCACTCTTGGCAGAGACACAAAGAAAAGCATAATGCTCCATTGTCCCTCAGAACATGTTATGTATCCTAAGTTGTAAATGACAGGGGGTGGGGGCAATATAAATTATATGTTCTAGCTGAACCCCTTTACACTTGCCACTATATGCTTTTCTCCTGCCTTGTCAATAGAGGCTTTCATTTCCAGTTTCCAGCAGGTCTGTTGTCTAATACAGGAATTACCGATCACTAATTGCTTGCAGTAGACTTCAGCATACTATTGTTATAAACACAACTGGCAACTTTCCCTCCCGGGACTGCTCAGGGAGGAAATAAAATGTGACAAACCAGCTTAAATTTGCAAGTTTGGGCTAAAATGCTGAGCGATGCACCTTCTACCAACTCTCAGCGGGAGGAGGGCTCTAGTTATGGAACCACCATGGGACCCTACACTTCATTTTCCTTCCTGACTAATTGGTTTTGAAGAGAAGAACAAGATTGCTGGATCTGGAGCAGCTGAAAAAAAAAAAGAGTAGGAGTCGTCTTGTTTGCAAAGCTGTAGCTGATGCTGCAATGGCTGGGACTCTTGGATTTCCTTGCCTCTCCATTTTGCTAATTCTAGTTGGCAAAATTGTCTTCATTTCCCTCTTCCTGGACTGGCTCCGTCTTCTGTCTTGATGATAACAAGGCAAGAACAGAGCAGTAGGTCCATGTTGGTGAAGCTTTTGTCCCATTACACAATTCATGAGGTACCTAAATGCCAGTCATCCTAGGGCATTGTAGTGTTGGTGGCAAGAAAGGTGGCCTGAGAAGGGCTTTCCATGTTAGGGCATTTGCTTTTGCTTTCAGATTGAATCCCTGGAACATGACCTACAGGCCTCTGTGGATGAGCTACAGGACATCAAAGAGGAGCGCTCTTCCTACCAGGATAAAGTGGACAGGCTGAACCAAGAACTCAATCATATCCTGGGCGGTCATGAAAACCGTATCATTGATGTGGACGCCCTCTGCATGGAGAACCGGCAAGTACCTGGGGACCCTTGGATATGTTGGCTGGATGATAATGATATCTAATAATGGTGCTAACTTTTACATAGCACTTACTGTGTTCCAGGTACTGTGCTAAGCACTTTACAATTAATATCTCATTTGACTCTCACAACAACCCTGGAAAGTAGGTGCTTCCCATTTATGATCCTCATTTTACAGATAAGGAAACTGAGAGAAACAATAGTTAAGTGATGTGCCCAGGATCACCCAGCTAGTTAAGTGTCTAAGGCAGGATTTGAACTCAGGTCTTCCTGACTCCAGGCCCAGTGCTACCCCAGACTGTTGGCCTGACGTCTGAAATGTGTTTGCAGCCCTAATTATGTTATTGTTAGAGCATTGGGGTTGGTAGAGAAAATAGAAAGGAAAGGGAAAAATAAAAACACACAACCATCTGTGTGGGGAGGTTAAAAGTGAAAGCTACTTGTTATTACAACCAGGAAGGAATAAGGAAAGTAAATTGGGAAATTCCCTGAGCCATTTACTTTCCCTGAGGCAAATCTCAGTGTGAGTATGTGGATGACTGAGTGCTCAGATTGGTGGCTTTTCTTCCTTCTTTTATTCCCCAGTGGAATCATCTTAATGAGAACTATGAAAAAAAAAAAAGGTGTTGATCTCCCTTAGGTGAGCTCCAGGTAAAGCCTGTTTTAAAGTGCTCTGTGCATTTGGGGCACACTTGACCTCAATGACAACCACTTTCAAAAAGGTCACTAGGATGAATTTCCTCTCTCTATTTTTGTGTTAGTGATAAGGAAGCAAACTTAAAACAAGAACGGAGTGTCAGCGAACAGAGAGGAAGCATAGTATGAGAAAGGTCCCTTGGCTCTGGAGTCAGCGAGGACCTGGGTTCAACTCCCACAACAAATCACTTAACCTGTTGATTCTTCCTTCCTAACGCCTCTCACATATGCCCCCTTCTCTCTTCTAACAGCCACCACCCTCATCACCTCACACCTAGGCTACTGCAATAGCTCTCTGGCTGATCTCTCCCCCTTAAATCTCTTCCTACTCTAATCCATCTTCCACTCAACTATCTAATTGATCTTCTTGAAGTGTAGGTCCAACGTGTAACCCTCATCCCTCCCACCCCTCCACTCCCAGGAAACTCCTTATTCAGTTGTTTCAGTCCCGTCTAACTTTTTGTGACTTCATTTGAGGCAAAGATGCTGGAGTGGTTTGCCATTTCCTTCTCCAGCTCATTTTACAGATGAGGAAACCGAGGCAAACAAGGTTAAGCGGCTTGCCCGAGGTCACACAGCTAGTGTCTGAGGCAAGATTTGAACCGAGGAAGCTGAGTCTTCCTGACTCTAAGCCCAGTGTTCTATTTACTGATTCACGTAGCTGCCCCTCAATAAACTCTACTGGCTCCCTGTTATTTCCAGGTTTAAATATAAATCTTCTGATTGGTTTTTAAAAGCTTTCATAACCTCACCCCTTTCCCCTTTCCAGTCTTCTTCCACCTTACTCGGTTCCCCATACTCTCTGATCCAAAGCCTTTGGTCTTCTTGCTGTCCCTTACGCAAGACATTCTATCTCCTGACTTGGTGTGTTTTGACTGGCTGTCCCCTGTACCTAGAATCCTCTCCCTCCTCATCTCTGTCTCCTGCTTTCCCTGGTTTCCTTCAAGTCTCAGCTAAAATTCCTGCAAGAAGCCTTTTCTGATAGTCCTTACTCTAATGCCTTCCCTCTGAGATTATTTCTACTTTATCTTCTCTGTTGCATGCTGTCTCCCCCATTAGGCTGCAGACTCCTCGAGAGCAGGGACTATTTTGGCCTTTCTTTGTATCCCCCACACTTAGTGTGGTGCCTGGTATGTAGTAGGTGCTTAAAAATGCTTGTTCACCTGACTTAATTTCCCTGGTTTTCATATTCTCCATTTGTACAATGAGGAGGCTAGACTAAATGGTTTCTGAAGTAATTTCTAGCTCTCAATCTATGATCCTCCATTGTTTGTTTTTTTGCCTCTCTGTTCTCAGTCTCTCACTCACTCATTCATTCATTCATTCCACAAACATTTATTGTGCTCCTATCCTGTGTAAAGTGTTCTGGGTGCTGGTTCAATAAACCACAGTCCCTCTCATGAGGGAATTTACAATCGAGTTGGAAGATGAGATAGTTATGTAGGGAAACATATGAATTAGAATCTGCTAAGTGGACTAGTGGATACTTTGAAAACAAATAAGAGAATTATGAAGAATGGAGCTTTTTGTTTCACACATACCTATGTCCTTGTTCCATGTGTTTTTTTTTTTTGTCTTAGATACCTCCAAGAGAGATTAAAGCAGCTTCATGAAGAGGTCAGCCTACTTAAAACTAATATTGCCAAATATAAGGTAAAGGAATAGTAATGATGATCATGACAAATTGCTATGTCACTCAATTCATTTCAGTTTGGAGTCATCCTGTGCACAAGAGAAGTGTTCCATTATTATTCCCATGCATAAATTCCAATAAAAGCCTTAATTGTGATAACTTGTTTTTTAATCTCATTTTTTGGACCTGTTATTTCACTGGTATGGAAACCCCAACTCCTTCTTTGGAAACTCTCTCCACTGCTAAAGATTTTACTTGTTTAGAGCTTAGAGCTACTGCTTTGGGTTCTCTGTGATCCTGTAGAGCACTGCCCACTCTTTTGTCTCATCTGAAAAGCAGGGATAGCAATCAGTATCATCTTTTACTAATTGTTGCTCCAATTTTCCCCATCTGTAAAATGGGTTTAAGCCCTGCTTCCCCACTTCCCTTTCACTTCCTTCAATAGTATTGGCTGGGTTTCCCACTTCCTGCAGCAGAATCAAGATAACAGCAGCAGGGACAGCAACAACATTTACAGAGCATTTTAAGGTTTGCGAAGTGCTTTACAAATATGATCTTATTTAATCCTCACAACAACTCTGGGAAATGGGTACTATTATTACCCCAATTTTACAGTTGAGAAAATTGAGGCATACAGATTAAGTGACTTGTCCAGGGTCACACAGTAAATATCTGGTTTTGAACTCAGGACTCTTAAGTCCAATGCTTCAGATAAGAGGCTTTCTTTAAATGCAAGACAAGATAACTGTATACTTGGAGTGGGGGTGACAGGGGGGGAGATGGTCCTGGATCTGTGGTTTTCTCAGACTAGGGAACCCTCAGTGTGATAACTCCCACCATGATAAAGGTCAGCAACTCCTCTGTAAGTTTGGATTTTAGAGTTTCCTGGGCACTGAGAGGTTGTTACTTGCCCGTGATCACCCAGGAGTGGACTCGAGAACCTGGGTCTAATTGACTGTAAGACTGACCCTTCTAGTTCACATGCCATTCTTCCTTTTAAAAAAACTAACATCTCATATAAAACAAATTCCAAATAACTTTTCTTCTGTAGGTCTTTGTGTAACTCCTCATTAGGGATAACATTCTTGGAGACAGCTAGAATATGACGGTGTATTATTAGCACTCAGGGAGCCCAAAGGCCCCCCCCCCCCGGGTGTTGAATTCTCTGCTGATATTTGTCCTAAAAACTCCCATGAGACACCAGGTTTCCACATGGTGGGAAAAGCTGAGCCTGAAACGTGTGACCTGAAGCCAGACCGCCCACTAATAGGGCAGAATGTCAAGTTTCTCCTTGCTTTCATACCTCCTAATTCCAGAACCATCTAGTTTGATAATATCTTATTCTGCAGATGTTAGTTGTAAGTTTTATAATTAGAAAGCCCTCCTGGGTTTTCTTCACATTGAAAATGGATTGATTTCTGTCCCTGAGGGACATTCTTTGCTCCAGTGCTATGCTCATGAGAGAGCCGCCCCATTTTCCCAGCTCTTGACATTAACTTTCCTCTCAGACATCTCCACCAACCCTTGCTATATGGCTTGAGGCTTTGTCAGGGCAGTTTCTACATATACCAAGCCTGTACTGCGTGTATCTAGGCAGAGATCTAGATTTCTTTTAAACATGTATAATTTATACTTAATGAAATACATATACATCCATACATATATACCCATTTCTGCTCTGAAAGATGTCTTGTTCTTAATCACCTGAAATACTGAATTGCACCCCCTCCCCTTTCTTTCCATGACTTTGCCCTCTCACTGTTTTGTTTCCCACATCCCTGACATTTCTGTCTTTTGCCTGTTCTGTTTCTTGATGTTTTCAAAATGTGCCCTTTTTTCCTATCTTCTTTTCTCCTCTCTCTCTCTCTCTCTCTCTCTCTCTCTCTCTCTCTCTCTCTCTCTCTCTCTCTCTCTCTCTCCCTCTCCCTCTCCCTATTCTTTCCCAGAAAGGTCTCATCTTGCTTTTCCAATTAGAATAGTGTAATAGTAAATACTGTATTAGAATACTGTAATAAGAATTAGAATACTGTATTAGTATGTAAATGAGAATACTGTAGTAGCAAGCTCCTTGAGGGCAGGGACTGGTTCTTTATTTGTTATTTGTTTCGTCTTTTGTTTTTGTATCTATCCCCAGACTCCAGTAGGACTAGCACCTCTGGTGTGAGGGCTGCCAAGGCTGCTCATCTGCCTCTAGTGCCCCACCTGGCATTCAGTTCTCACCTCCAAGAAGCTGTAGCATGAGCAGCGCCACACCCTGTTCAACCATGTCAGCAATGGGCTAAACCAAGTTGAGGGTAACCGATGGGCCTCAAACCCATCAGTGACTTGAGGGGCTGTCTGCCCCAAGCAGCTACAGTGCACTGGGTCTAGAGTCAGAAAGACCTGAGTTCAAATCTGGCTTCAGATACTTACTAGCTGTGTGACCCTGGCCAAGTCACTTAACCCTTTTTGCCTCAGTTTCCTTATCTGTAAAATGAGCTGGAGAAGGAAATGGCAAACCACTCCAATATCTCTGCCAAGAAAACCCCAAATGGGGTCATGAAGAGTTGGACACAGCTGAACACAAATCTGTCCCCAGAAACTACTAGAGTCCCTGGCACATATTAGATACTTAATACATGCTTACTTGATTGGCAGGTCTAGTTTTCTTGCCTGACCCATGGATCTGGTAACTTTCTGCTTATTGAACTCCTGGTTTTGAACTTGAATTGTACTTAGTATTTTGATTTTTTGATTCCATGACTCTAGGTTTGCAATAAAATACTACTATCATTTACATAGGGTGTCCCAAAAGTCTTAGTGCAACTTTAAGCTTTAATTGCTAAGCTTTAACAGTGATGATTCTTTTATGATAAAAATAACTAAGTTTAATCATTTTAAATATTTTATGTTTTAGTATATGGTGCTATTAAGGTTTTAGAAGCACTTTACTTCTTTACTTTACTTCAGAAGCACTTTATTACAACCCTGTATTACAGATAAAAAAATTGAGAAGTGAAGTCCAGGGCTGGTGCATGGTCACACAGCTATTGTAATAAGTGTCTGAGGCAGGATTCAAACCCAACTCTTCCAATTATTAAGTCTAGTACATTTTCTATCCTGCCATGCTGCCTCATTGAACTAAGACCATGGGGTCTTTTCATCCTGTGAATTAGATTTTTGCCTAAAACATATCCCTATTAATCTGCTAGTCTCTGGCACATACACACACCTTCCCACTTCCCTCCCCCTCCACATGCTCTCATTTCCTTTGGAAGCTGATGGGAAATGACAGATGGAAAAAATTAAGCGATGTCATTTTATAGTGAGTAACATCCGGGCCAATCTCCCTCGTCCTCCCCCTTCTCTCCTCAGATCAGCTGAAGGCTGCGCAGCTGTGGGCTCAGACAATTTGGGAGCTGCTTTCAGACCTGTTGTGAGCATGAAGTCAATAATCTAGTTCTGGGGCCAGCCCATGGAACAAGTCCTCTGTCAGCTTAGATGACATGGGCTTCCATTGTAGCCAGTGCTTAGTCCAGAACTGACTTTTCTGATGAATGAACGTTCTTTTCCAATGTTTCCCTAGAATGCCCTTGAGAGACGGAAAAACTCCAAAGGCCAGAGCAGGTCCAGCAGCAGCAGCAGCAGCAGCAGCAGTGCCCTGACTGGAGTCCTGTCTGCCAAGCAAGGTATGGGTCTGAAAGCCTCGAAGGCCCCCAGTGGAGCTATTTATACCATTTTTCCTCAGTGGCCTTCAGCATCATCTCTTCAGCATCATCACAGTAATAGTAATAGTAATTATGATGATAGCAAGGGGCTGAGTGGCACAATGCCTTGTAACCAGGAAACCTGAGTTCAAGTGTAGCTTCTGAGGAATTCTAGCTGTGCAATCTCAGTCAAGTCTCTCTTGGTGATTGAATTTGTTAAATTCACGTAGAAACAGTTCCCTGTAGATAGTGTATTGACTTAGAAAACCACAAATTAACATTATCTGTGTTGTAAGGTATTTCATTTATTTTGTTAAATATTTCCCAATTAAATTTTATTCTGGTTTGGTGCACTTAGATGTTTTGCCTTCAGTGAGTTTAACCCTCTGCTCTGAGACACACTCTTAGACAAGGGTTATTAACTTGGTGTCCATGAACTTTTAATATCTATCTATCTAATATGTATATGATATATGTATATATTTGTGTGTATGTATACATCTAGATAGAGAGATGATAGAAATATGTATGTATACCTCTAAATAGATAGATGATAAAAATAGACGACAGAAATAGGATAGATAGATAGGCAGAATAGATAGATGATAGATAGATAGATAGATAGATAGATAGATAGATAGATAGATAGATAGAATGAGTGAGTTCTTATTTCAGGAGATCTGTGATGTGGGAGTATTGTCTCCTAGATACAAATCACAACCCCATCTACATCTTCTCATCCTATGTAGTTAATTATTGGCTCTTTTATGGATATCTTCCACAAAGGATTTATTCAATAAATCAAAGGCCTTCCTTTGAATGTTCCAATATTTTCTGGATACTAGTGCAAAACTTCTGACTTGACTTGCTGTTATCCTTCCTTCTTGTGACATGGCTGCCTACTTTCCTTTATGCTTGTATTTGTTTTATGTCTTTTATGCTATAAAAATAATTACAGTTTACATAGCTATTAAAAATCACATCATCTTTTCTATCCATTATCTCATTTGACACAACCTTGTGAGTCAGGCAGTGGAGATGTTATTCCCATTTTACAGAAGAGGAAATGGAGGCTTTGAAAAATGAAACAACTTTCCCAAGGTCACTGGTTAGATGTGACACATGGCTAGTAAGTGGCAAAATTGAGACTGGAGTCTTAGATTTCTTGCTCTAGTTCCACCCTGAAAAGAAAGAGTTTCACCCTTGTCCTGTCTCCCAAGATCATAAGCAAGCAAGCAAACAATAAAAACTCTAGCCACATTCCTGCTGAATCCAACTTACCTTGGGGGATTAGCTGTCTTAAAGAGTAGCATTTATTGACTACAAGTTCGTTTGTTTTCATGCTTTCTTCAGTTAAAAAGTAATGACCTTCTTGTAGCAGGAGAATGGAATAGATAGCAGATAGCTTATCCGGAGTAATGTATATTGAAGAGCTGAGTTTCTCAAGCTGGCTCCCAAGGTGACTATAATCAGATGGCCACCTTTCCAAATATTAACTTGGAAACCCACTGATTGAAAAGGAAGTCTTAGGTAGGATTTTCATGTGTAAAAGAACAAAGATGCTATGTCTTTCTTACTACCTAAAAACCACAGTACATTTCCAAACCTCTGCTCCTACCTACCTTGAAGAAAGTATGCTATTTTGTTTTTCTTTAAGAAAAGTAGCATACTAGAAAATATGGCCTCTCTCACTGATGTTAAGCTCGGATCTGAGGAGTTGAGCTCAGTAAAAGTTAAAATGACAGATAATTGATCAGTACTTCCTGTAGAACTCTGCAAGTAGCAAAGTGGGTGGGAGATCGGCAGATGTTCTAGGGTATATGGAGTTTAGCTAGGGCCAGAGCCAAGGAGAGAGGCAGGAATGAGGCCAGTAGCTTCTGAGATGTATTCCAATAACAGTGAACCTAACTAAACATAGAGTTTGTGTATGAATATACATTGATATGTATATGCATATACATATAATATCTCAATAGATATACATACATGTATACATAGACATACATAAACACATACATATATGCATATGTGCATATATACATACACACATATACATACATGCATACATACAGTCTACAGTGGACAAAACCAGTAAGGTTTGGAGAAGGTCTAAAACAAGGGGGGAAATCAAGCTGTTGTTCCTACATGTTGCATTTGTGTTTTTATTTCCTGTTATTTTGCTTGCTTTCTGTCACGTTTTGTCCCACAGTTATTCTTATTACCTCCATCCTTTTGTGTGTGTAGGGAGATATTTTGCAGAATGGCACAGTCTTCTAGGTAGATACCAATACAGACATGGAGAGAAAGGAGATGTAGCACCAGAGGAGATGGAGATACATGGGGGCAGTAAAGTCAGAATTTAATCTTACTTGGATAGATCAGACTAGGAGCCCCAGGGTGTTTCCAGAGCTACTGGGGCTTCCTTGGATTTTATATCCATAGCATCTTTCCTAACTAAAGTCATAGATACCCTGGTTGGATCTGTCCATCAGAAAAAGCACCTCACCACCATCATAAACAGAGAGATAGAAGGAACCCCAGAGATCCTCTAATCCAATCTCCTCTTTTTGCAGATGATGACATAGTCAAAGAACTGTTGAAGTTAGGAGGAATGTGAATTTAAATCCCAGCAAGTCACTTTCCTCACCTCAGTTTCCTCACCTGTAAAATGAGAGTAATAATACTTGTCCTGCCTATCTCATAGGGTTGTGAAGGAAGCATTTTGTAAAACCCTAAAGTGCTATAGACATTTGAACTATTTCTGTGAGGCCCAGAGGTGGTGACTTGTCACACAGCTAGTTAAGGTCAGCCACCATTTCTGTCTTCCAATCCCTAGTTGTATGTTGTTGCCACTATAATATGCTGCCTCTTTAACGTGTCAGTCTTTAATCTCTGCTCCTACCTACCTTGAAGAAGGTATGCCATTTTGTTTTTCTTTAACAGAAGTAGCATACTAGAAAATATGGCCTCTCTCATTGATATTAAGCTCAGATCTAAGGGGTTGAGCTCAGTAAAAGTTAAAATGACAGATAGTTGATCAGTACTTAAAAGACTCTCCATAACTTCATCTTGCCTGTTCAGACTTACCTCCTACCATTCCCCTCTCATTCACCCAGACCTATCTCCTCATTGCACCCCAAATACTCCTTCATTGTGTCTTTGTTCCAAATTCCATAAGCAAAGGCATTAGTCATGCTCTTATTCATGCCTGATTGACGCTTCTTCATATTCCCTGACTGGGATTTGTCCATCCATTGTCCAATATTTCCTTTTCTAGGTAGAGAAACCAGACTGGTTCACTGATGTACTGTTGAAAGATGCCCCTCCAGCATTCCTGTCCCATGCATTCCCATCTCCCACGTTGTCCCTTGACCAAATTAAAGCAAAGTAATAGGATTCCCACCATCTTTGGAAAGATCAGAGCAATAGGGTATCCAAGTAGTGGAAAGGAACTTAGAGGTCGTATTTAGCCCTATCGTTTTGGAGGTGAGAAAACAGGCCCCAGAATGAAGTGATTTAGCCAAAGTCACATAGCTGTTTGATGACGGAGGTGGGACTGGAACTCATGCCCTTCTGACTTCTAGTGTAGTATTCTTTTTGCCCCACTATGCATTGGTCTTCCATTTCAGAAATGAGCAGGTAGTGATCTGTTTATGGCTTGTGCAAGGCAGAAGGGAGTGGTAAATGTGTGTGTGTGTGTGTGTGTGTGTGTGTGTGTGTGTGTGTATACTCACAGACACATATACACTGTTGTTCAATCATTTCGGTAGTGTCCTATTCTTCATGATCCCATTTGGGTTTTTCTTGGCAAAGATACTAGAATGGTTTGCCATTTTCTTCTTCAGCTCATTTTACAGATGAGGAAACTGAGGCAAACAGTATTAAGTGACTTGTTCAGTGTCACACAGCTAGTAAGTATCTGAGGTCAGATTTGAAATCATGTCTTTCTGACTCCAGCCCAGGCACTTTATGCACTGTGGCAGCTACTCCTGTATATGTGTATACACACACACACACACACACACATGCTACAAATAAAGATATAGATATATGGTCAAATATAATGAGATAACATTTAATAAGGGTAATTTTAAAGCCATGGGATCATGGATATAGAGGCAGAAGAATCTTCAGAAGCAATCCCCTTCATTCCCACAGTCATAGAGGTCATAAGCACCAGAGGCAGCATTTGAATCCAGGACCTTGTGCTCTTTTTTTTTTTTGTACTATACTTCTGCCTACAATTGGGCTTAAAAAAAATTAACTTCTATCCCCACATGTATAGGCCGAAGGAGGCATAGAAAAGAAATGCCATATGAAAAAGGGTTTTTTCTTGGATTTGAGAGGGCAGCAAATTCAGTATGAGTCCATAGTGTGAAATGGTGGCCCCAAAGCTAGCTAAATCATAGGTTTCAGCAACAGAGGCACAAAGCAGCTAGGTGACACAGTGGATAAAGTACTAGCCCTGGAGTCAGAAAGACCTGAGTTCAAATGTAGCCTCAGACACTTACTAGCTGTATGACATTGAACAAGTCACTTAACCCTGTTTGCCCAGTTTCCTCATCTGTAAAATGAACTGGAGAAGGAAATGGTGAATAGGACTGAACAACATTCTGCCCCACTCTGATGAGACACTGATGAGTGTTGTGGTCAGTTCTGGGCAGGAAAGTTAGAAGCATGTTAACAAATTGAGGAAGTTGACTAAGGTGGTGAGAGGACAGCAAAGATTGACTGAAGGAAAACAAGACTTAAGGGAGGACGTGGCAGTTGTCTTCAAGTCCGAAATGGGTTGTCATGTAGATGACATAGATTTATTCTGCTTGGTGCCAAAGGCCAGGACTAGAAATAGTGGGTACAAGTGGTAAAGAGGAAGATTCCATCTGGATAAAAGGAAAAATGCCCTAACAATTAGAGCTATCTAAACATGGAATGGGCTGCTTTAGGAAGCTGGGACTTCCTTATCACTTCCCTATCACTTTATCTAGTAGAGGCTAGATTATCATTTATTTGGAGTAGAAAGGATTCAGTTTTCTTTTCCAGTATGGATTGGACTAAGAGCTCTGAGATCCCTTTTTAACTCTGAATCAGGCAGTCACAATCCTTTGATTTTTGGGATTGTTGTGAGAATCAAATGAGATATTTCAAGAAAAGTGATTTATGAACCTTGAGGCACTGTATAAATGTGTCATTATTGTTATTGGCAGTCAGTTGACCAAAGACCCTTCAGAAACAATTGGCCTTTTGTGTTGAAAGGTCAGCCCTGGACTAGGAATTAGGAGACCTACATTCTCCTAACTAATCCTTAGTTGATCTGAAACCTTCAGCAAAGGTCTCACATTTAATTAGCCTTTGCCTCGATTTCCTTGCCTACAAATTAGGAAACATGCTCACTCCACCTACCTCATAGAGTTATTATTCTCTGATTTACCTAATGGAGAAAAATTGCTTGTGTAGGTGTTAGAGGCAGGATTTAAGAGCCCAAGTCTTCCTGTCTCCAAGGCCAGCCCTTTATCCATGTTGCTTCTCAGAAGGTCAATAAGGATCTCATAAAATAACAGAAAAGTGCTTTAAAAAATAAAACCCATTATCCAAATGTAATACATAATTGTTATATTATTATTATGATGATGATGTTATTATTATTATCATCATCAAGTTTCATGAAGCCATCCTTTCTGTATGTCTGTCCCATCAGCCTTCACATTAGCTTTTCCATGTTTGATTCTTTGTGTAGAGTAAAAGTGAGCCATCATACCTCCAGGAAGCCTTGCCCATTCTGTGTTTGGGAGGGAGGTTACTAAAATCAGAGGGAATGTCATTCATGGTCCATAATGAGTGAAAATCTGAGTTTTGGCTTTTTGTCCTCCTTAGTTCAAGATTTATTATCTGAAGATCATGGATGCAGTCTTCCAGCAACGCCACAGTCCATTTCGGATCTGAAATCTCTAGCTACCGCCCTATTAGAGACCATCCACGAGAAAAACATGGTCATTCAGCACCAAAGGCAAACCAACAAGTAGGTGCTTAAACTAGAGTGTCCAAGGTTCAGGGCAACCATGAAACCAACAAATATTTATTAAATACCTACTAAGTGTTAAGTTCAAGGCACTGTAATAATAGCCAGTACTTATAAAGCATGTTGAAGTTTGCAAAGCACTTTATGCCAGCAAACAGTGTGGCTTTCTGCCTGGAGTCCATGGACATATTTCAGAGGATCTGTAAGCTAGAATGGAAAAAATTATATTTTTATTTCCATATGATTAATTTCCTTTTCAATCTTATGTATTTTAATTTTGTTATCTTTAGCAAACATTTCTTATTTCTCATCTCTCCTACTTCTTCCTCCCCAATTAAACAATTAAAAAAAGAAAAAGAAAACCTTCTTAACAAACATGCATAATCAAACTGAAAAACAAATTTCCACATTGGCCATGCCTAAAAATGTAAGTCTCATTTTGCATTTTAAATCCATCACTTTTTTGGCAAGAGGTGAGTAACATGCTTTATCTTCAGCCCTCTGTAATCCTGGCTTATCACTGCTTTGATAAGAGCTCTAAAGTCATTCCAAGTTATTTTACTTTATAATATTGTTTTTGTTGTAGAAATTGCTCTCCTAGCTCTGTCCAAGTCACTGTGTATCAATTCATAGACATCTTTCCAGTTGCCTGTGAAACTGTCTATTTCATCATTTCTTATGGCATAACAATATTATATTCATATACCATAATTAATTTGGCCATTCCCCATTAGGTAGGTACCTTCTTAGTTTCCAACTTGGGGCTGTTATAAAAAGAACTGCTATAGATATTTTTGTACATTTGGATTCTCTCTGCCATTGCTTTGAGGTATAGACCTAGTTAGTAGTATTGCTGGGTCGAAGGGTATGAAGAGTTTACCGACAACCCCTCCAGCATTTGTAATTTTCCTTCCTTGTCCTCTTTGCCAATCTGATGTGTGAGAGGAAGAAACCCAGAATTGCTTTAATTTACATTTGCCCAATTATTAGTGATTTGGAGCATTTTTTCACATGGTTTTTGCTTGTTGAAGAATGTCTTCTTTTAAAACTTCCTATCTTTTAACCATTCATCTATTGGAGAATGGCTATTGGCCTTATAAATTGGAATTGGTTCCTTATGCATTTAAAGGCCTAATTCTGAGAAGGGATTCATAGGTAGGCTCACCAGACTGCCAAATGGGAGTTGATGGCACACAAAAAAGTTAAGAACCCCTGGCCTGCATGAAATGAACTTCCTACCTCTCAGGCAGTGAACTGGGCTCAGTACCTTGTAAGAAGAACCTTGGTGTAAAGGAACTGTTTTTTTGATGATGTTTTTAATAACAAGCTTTGATTTTGGGTAACTGAATCCCAGGGATTCCACAAAAGCCTGGCCTTGAATGTGGAGAAGGGTTGGGGAGGGGGAGGCTGGAATCACTCTTCCAGCTTTCCCCAGCAAAGTATGGAAAATAAAGACAATTATAACTGGATGAATTTTTTTTTGAAAGAGTGTAGAACACTTTGTGGGAAATCAAATAAGTTAGATCAGTGAGTGGAAAGGACAGAGGGGAAATTGAAAGTGTTCAGAGATCGATGAATAAGCTATAACTCAAAGGCATGCAAACCTTACAAAATATGTACCACAAACCAAAATGAAAGCAAATGCCTGTGGCCAGAAGGAAAGAATCTAGAAAGGCTGAGTTGAAGGCAGGGATGGGGATTTGGCCCTGGGGGGTAGGGCGGAAGAAGGCAGGGGTTACAACTAGAAAATGATTGAAGGTATTGTAAAAACAAAATAGAAAAAAGAAAAGATGGAGAATGAAAGGAAGATTGCACAAGAGATTAAGATATATAAAAGAAACCAGAGATCAGTGAAGGGAGACCGGCCAATCTCAAAGGGATGACAAGGGTAATTTATTGACAGAAGAAGTTTTAAAATTCCTCAGAAATGAAATCTTAACCAAGGAATGAAACAGCCAGATGCTGAAAATGCCTGTATTTCTCAAGGGAGGAAGAAGAAATCAGGATCTCACCAAAATAGGTAATGGTTTTGAAAACCCCTTTCATTGTTCTATTTAGGCAAGAGTCCCTGGACCAGGAAACAATTGCTGTAGAGCCTTAAAGGAACCCAGTGATGTTTTTTTTTCTTAAACTAGTGCAGTAGAATATCAGAAGACCCCATATATTTTATCAGAAAAAGTACAGCAAAGTGGGATTTTTTTAAGGTTTCAAGGCTAAGCTAGATGATGATGATACAGATTTGTTAAGCCTTTAGGAGTATGTACTCCCCCATCTCCCCCCAGAGAAGCGAGGCAAATAAAACATTGATAGACTGAAACCAGGGGACATATTTTGGCATTGAATAGTGGGTGATTATTTTCTCCCTCATTTCTGTTTCAGTTTGCTTTGTCTTTTTTGATGGTTTTGACCTTTATGGGGGGTGGGGTGCAGAAAAGAGAAAAAAACAACTTTGGAAACAGTAAATGAGAGAAGTGCAATGAATTGTATTAGTGAGAAAGCACAAAGGATAGTGAGGAGTAAAGAGGACTTAGGAAGGAGAGAATTCTGAGGCAGCATCCCAAGCTCTTTTAGGAAATACAAGCCAAATCTTTTTATAAGGAGCTCCTTTAAAGAAAAGAGCACTTGCTCCTTGAAGGCATAAGAAGAAAGAAAGAGAGGGAAGGAAGGAAGGGAAAGGGAGAGTGAGGGAGAAAGGAAGGGAGGGAGGGAGGGAAGGAGGGACGGAAGGAAGAAAAAAAAGAAAGAAAAGGAAGGAAGGGAGGGGAGGAAAGGGAGGGAGGAGAGGAAGGGAGAAAGGAAGGAAAGAATCCTAACCTGAAGTTACTCAACTAAGTTTTTATGTTTTAAAGGGCAACTGTTACATAGATAAGGACCAAAGGATTATTTATTATGAAGAATTAGTTGTAACTGCGTCAACAGAGGACTGTTTTCATAGGGCAGGCAGTGAAATATCAAAATGTTTTTTTCGTTATGTAGTGACTGTTTTTTTGTAATGGGATTTGCTGTAATGGGATTTTTACTAACATATGGTTCATAAATGCATAAGAAATAGAATAAACTAAAATAAAATGGCTAAAAGACCCATAAGAGCCCAGGGGCAAAACATCTGTGTGTGTGTGTGTGTGTGTGTGTGTGTGTGTGTGTGTGTGTGTGTGTGTTATTACTTCTTAGAAGGTGCTACTAAGGGTGCTGATGGGAGGAGGGGCAAGGAAGTCAAGACTGCCTCCTGTCCCAGCTTTCCTAGTGCTCATTCATTCCTGTTAAGTTGTCTCGTGGTTAGAATGTAATGTCCTTGTGAGTGGGCATTGCTTCATTCATTGTAATATTGTATTTATATTAGGATACAAATCATATCCATACCAGATAAGTATAAAATGGATACTGCATTCTTTTTTTTTTTTTGGAGGCAATCAGAGTTAAGTGACTTGCCCAGGGTCACAGGACCATTGCTCTATCCACTGCACCACCTAGCTGCCCTGATACTGCATTCTTTACAAAAAAATTCTGACTTTGCCTTTGTAAGCTTCAGGGTTGAGAAAGACAGTTAGCTTACTCACTTGTACATTGAAACAAATGAATTGATTTTCAAATAATAGTGTTTAATGAAATTCAATAAACATTTATTAAGCACTTATATGCAAAACACTGTGCTCAATGACAGGAGAGGGAAGTGGGGAGAAAATATTGACATCTTAATAGCTCTTTGGGGCCTTCACAACGCCTTTATTAGATAGCTCAATTATATTATTATTATCCCTATTTTACAGATTAAAAAAAAAACAAAAACCTGAGGCTCAGAGAGGGGGTTAGGTGATTGGGCAGACTCATGCTACTGGTAAATGTGAAAGCTGCTATTTAAATCCAGGTCTGTTGTCAAAAGACATGGTTTCTACCCTCACAGGGCTTATAATCTAGCAATAATCTCTACTTTACCTTATTTCTTGCTCTGCTCTTTGGCAAAGATATTTCATCAGTTATTTTTGCCCCATAGAGGATTTCTCGTATTTTTTTCTTCTACTACCTTTAATGTGATGTCTTGCTTTTAATTTGAATACTTCAAAGCGATTTAAAAGCAACAAAAATAACATTTTTCATCAGTTTTCATTTGCTGAATGCTATCATTTGTTACTGCCTCTTTGTTCTGAAATGAGAAGAGGTAGTTTTGATATCCAGAAGCCAAGAGAATAAATCCAAGCATGCTTGGGAAGACAATATGATGCAACAGAAAGAATACTAGAGTTGAAGTCAAAAGGACTGAGATTCCAACCCCAGCTCTACCTCCTACTACCTGTATGACCTTAGGGAAGTCACTTGATTTCTCTGAGCCTCAGTTTCTTCATCTCTAAAGTGAAAATGTTATCCTAGATGACTTCTAAATTCCCTTCCAGCCTTAAATCTATGGTTCTATGTTTTAATGTTCCCACTTTAAATATTTGGGCTTTCCAAGCCTTCCCACTCTCAACAAACTTTTAATTTGGGGGCACCAAGTAGTTATTTTCAATTAACAAGCATTTAAATGCCAACTTGTGCCAGGCATTAGGGACACAAAGGCAGAAGTGAAAGAGTCCCTGCCTTCAAGATTCTTATATTCTACTGGGGCAGCCACCATGTACATCTCTAAATATGAGCCAGATCAACCCAAGGTAATATAAAGAAAGTGGGGATTATCAAGGAAGTCTTCCTGTAGAAGGAAGTGGCTCTTAAGCTGAGTTTTGAAGAACACAAGGAATCCTAAAAGGTAGAGTTGAGGAGGAAGTACATTCCAGGCAGAGGATACAGCCAATGCAAAGATGTGGAAGTAGGAGATGGTTTGCGGCATGGGAGAAACACCAAAAAGGTCAATTTTTAGTGGACTGAAGAGATTGTAATATATAAATAAAGCTGGAAGTGAGATTGGAGTCAAGTTGTGAGTAAAGGGTTTTAAATGCCAGACAATGGAATCTTCAAGGCAATGGGAAACAAGTGGAGTTTATTGAGTACAGGATTAACATGATGAGACT